ATCATCTCAAATATTTATTGTGTCAATCCCCAAAATACTATAACAAATATAGCCCTTTTATTCGGTCAATCAGGTTTCTCCATGGGCCGTTTAACGCGGTGGTGCTGTCACAGTTAAATCGTTAAGCGCCACAGTTAAAATATATCAGAGCCATAGTTTAAATCTTAGCGCCACATTAAGTTCATCGTCGGCAGTAAGATAAATTTGCAAATTTATAGACTCATTGAACATCACTAATACGTTCTTCATTTTCTAATGCATTGCCGTTTGTAATTCATTATATGTAGGACCCTTTGTTTGACTTGTACAAGCAATTATCTTCTAGAACTCGCTGGACACTCGGATGAAAAGGGACAAGCTATTTTTTTCCATAGGACACGATAATTTCAAACGATTTTTTTTGGTATTAATTGATTCACGCAGTTCTGCAGAGAACAACGTCTTTAAAATTGGCTTCGAAGGGCGGGTCAAACATCGCACATGTATTGTACGTAATATTTTGCAATGTTGAAAAATTAACGTTTTAAAGGTACTTGAACACAGATTTGAAGTTAATTTTTTCTCTATATTATAACGAATAATATATTTTAATAGCATTTCAAACAAAAATTAATTAAAATTAATTAAAAATCTTATTTCGTTTAAAAGTTACTAAAATTTCAAATTTTTTGGCGGGTTTGATTGACACATCCTTGCACTTTTACAAATTTTAATTTTATTCTTTTAAAATACTTAAGATAAGTTGCAATCTTGTTGTGTATAAATGAAAAATATTAAAACTATAATCCAGAAAATTCAGAGTAGAAATGTTCAAAACGAAACAAACACACAATATATTCTTAGTTTGTGCAGTTGTGGTGAGCAGACTTTGACTATTGAACGCACCCGCTAAAATCAAAACATCAACAAAAACAGAGCTCCTGCCTTGTTTACAAAAACTGTGTACATAACACGAGTGTGATCGATTTGCACACACGACTTAGCTCGGAATTACGATACTTGTGAAGGCGTTTTGCTTTCTAACATTTCTACTCCGAATAAAATTATTTTTCTGGATTAAAGTTTTAATATGTCTAATTAAAACACAACAAGATTGCCATTTTTCTGAAGGATTAAGAATAAAATTAAAATATGTGAAAGTGCAAGGATGTGTCAATCAAATCCGCCAAAAAATTTGAAGTCTTAATAACTTTTAAATGAAATAAGGTTTTTAATTAATTTTTGTGTGAAATGCTAATAAAATATATAATTCGTCATATTACCGTGTAGTATACAGAAAATATTAACTTAAAATCTGTGTCCAAGTACCTTTAATATAGGCCCTATAACTCTTCAGACAGCTGACTGCAGATATTTAGCGTAATTGTGTAACTTTCCAGATTTTTCTGTGTCCATTATGACCTTTATTATCTTTTGTAAACAATTTTTTTTTCAAATAGAGTTTAATGGTTAAACCTTATTGTTACTGGTACTTTTATTTCAGATTCGATGAACCAATTTTTGTTTAGCTTAGTAGTACGTTTGTGTGATTTTATTTGTTTATTCTATTTTGCTTTACTTCATTTTTTACAGTATTCATATATTTCGGAAAAATTCTTATTTTTTATTTACACCATGCTTGTTCAATATCGATAAATTGCTTTTATTACCAGTAATGAATTTGTTATTCAATTTGGCAAATAATAAGTACCATTTGTGCAATAACTAACAATTGTTTCATTAGGGTTGAGTGTTTTTGAAATTTATTTTGCGGTTCCTTCCCGATTTTTTTCGCAAAATAATCGAATGATAATAGCACTTCGCGTTAATATTGCGTCACAGTTCAGTTTGAAATAATCGAAAACCCTGGGTCAATCCATAATGTATCGACAAAACAGAAAAGCACATCGATATACATTTCTGTCAAGTCGATATGGATTGACGAAGTAAAAGGGCTATATTTGTATAATAATTTCAGATTTGTTTAAAATATTGTTTTAACATAATTCACCCATTCTCAATATAAGGGCACAAATGCCTCTCTGATTTTTTAAAAAATGAAGTTCAAGATAACAATTTTTCTATCAATTACCTTTGAAAGAAAGTATGTGAAGATTTTGTTTCCAGATTTTTTTTCATCAAATATTAAAACATGGGTTAATGACAAGACGGTAAAGTAGAGGGTGATTTTATTCAAAAATATAGCTTGAAATGTACGTTACTCTTTCTTCAATGTCCAAAAAGATATGTAAAAAAAATGTCAGTCATTAAAATCACAATTGGAATATCTCATCTTAATACCAGAACATCCTACCAAGTCTGTCAGCAACATATGTTCTCGGCATACGAACGTGCGTTTGATTTTTCCTTTTAAAAAAAAGGTTACTTTTTGATCCAGATGTATAAAAACATTTTTTAAACATATGCTTTAAATTCTTCTCTCTGTTTTGTTAAGAGCAATCAGTTTGGAATCTTGTCATTTTCTATAGATACTGGAACTTAACATGTACATGTAGTAAAATTCTATTTTGTAGTTACTGTCTTTTTTAACATATATCCATGCCGATTTAGAAAACTACGTAAATGTAACGTACATTTCAAGATATATTTCTGTTTAATAAAAAGCTTAAAATTCATCTAAAAATTCATCGTTTTGTTTCAGTTTATTCCAAAAAAGATTCTCTGTGTAATCACATTGTGTTATATGTCACAATCACCACTATAAAGACACGATTGCCTCAGAATATGAGTAGGTAACGTACATTTCAAGCTTGTAATGATATGTAAATTAGTAATAAGAAAATATTGAAAAAAAAAGCCATTATTGACATGAAAATCATTTCAATGAAGAGTTTTAACGCAGTAATATAAGAAATCATAATGTAACAAACGAGGCTATTGTCATCAACTACACGAAGGTCACGTCACTTCGGTAACGCTCATTTCACATATTGGGGAGTCCCCTCCACCTCAGTTCATTACCATTTTTTGTGCTGTTTCGCTGAAATTGACACCGGTCGTAGCCTAGTTACTTCTACCTGTGTGCAAAGGTACAGACAAAAAAAAAATAAGAGTCAGACGTATTTTGCTATGATCTAACAAATGCTCGTGTTTGGCCATTGAAACTTAACATAAATCTATTCCGAATATATCCATCGACAGTCTTGTTAACAATTTTATTTAGTATGTTGCAACATCGTTTGTCAAAACACAAACATACGTGCTTTTCAGCAGATCTGGAAAAATATAACCCAAAATGCAATGATTCAAACAAAACTGAGTATTGTGTGCCTTTCAGTATTTAAAATGTACGTGACCGTCTTGTGTTCTGGGTTTATTTGTTTTGTTTCTTTTTTTTTTTCTTTTTCTTTTTTTACCAATTATATAAGCCTATGCATACCTTGTTTTAAATTATCAACAACAATTCAATTAATATTGACGAAAAGTCGCATATTAAAAGTAAACAAAATGCAAAAAGGTTGCCAAAGATGAATTAAAGACACTTAAAAATAAATTTTCTAGTATGTGGTAACACTCTACCACATTTAAGAGGATTGGGGGTGCATTTAGATGGATTTATGTGGTCAGTTGTCAAATGGATTGTAACGATAATTTTGTTTCGCTCGTGTAAACGCAATTCATTGACTAAATAAAAAAATATGTCTGTTAGAAATACGCAAAATGTACGTTACCATATGTAACGTACATTTCAAATATAAAAATCAATTCTCTTCCACAAGCGTACGTTAGACACGCAATATATTGATACTATCTGAACTTGCATATCATATTCATATTCATATCGTATTCAGAAATATATTCCAGGTATCAAAATTATATTACATATAATTGACCTTAATATATTTTTTTCCTCAACAGAAACGTTTCTTTTCATTAATTTTGAGGAATTTAGCCGACCTCCAACCTTTGAAACTTTCCTTTGTGTACACATTCGAGTGTGTGAAAGTATGAGAATACATGAAAATTCGTGCGAGATTCACTTAATTCTAATTTATGGTAACGTACATTTCAGTAACGTACATTTCAAATGATCACTTTTCATGTAAAAATTAATTTTTAATTGTGTTGAGCAAAACGTCTTTGCCAGTTTACAGGATACAAGGGTTTGCTTATTCAGAGTCGTCTCATATTTTCTACTTAATATATATTCTTAATGGAAAAATATAGGTAACGTACATTTCTTTCTTATCTCTACGATTGAAAATGTCTTTCATTCCGTAAACATATTGATAAAAGTTGCTCAAATTGTTCAATTTCATGTTACATTATCTAAGTAGGAGTAATTAATCCTTTGAAATTTCAAATTTAGCCCATCAAATAATAAAAAAATAAAACTATCAGGTGTATAATCTTTGTGTTTGTTTGTAATGTGGTTGAAATAGAATTAAGCGACAGGGACATTGCACAATAAAAATTATTTATTATCACTAAGAAAATGTATTTATTGTTATGAAAAGAAATATATATGATACAAGGTTTAACTTATCCGAAAATTTTTACTTGAGAATCAAAACTATATATTACACAGAGGGGATTCAGCATAATATTTGCCTCGGCGACAGTAACGTACATTTCAAATAGGCTACTATATTTGAATTTGGAACTCCTTAAATACCCTTTCAGATCGATAATTATATGAATTCTTATTCATTGTTAAATGACTATTTATAATGTTGATTTAAAAATTACATCAGTGGTATTTCTTCTAAATGAAAATGAGGCGACATTATTTGAGCCCTTATATTGAGAATGGGTGAATTAAGTAAGTTCTGCATTTTTTTCAAAACTTTCTTTAAACTCAATCTTTTCCCTATAATCTTTGTACTTAAAGTGTTTCAAAGTTTAGATTCATTCGATCAGAAAAAAGGTGTGGGGGCAATTTGATGAGGTTGTAAATAGTCACTGGTTAATTCTTGTTCATATTCATAGATATAGATACACCAGAATCAACAAATTTGACATCAACTGAATTTAATAGAAAATCAGCCTGTCTTGCTATCAACTGTGGTACTGTCGAAACGTTTTCCATATCTTCTGGTTGTTCTGAGTCATATTCCGGAGTCTGTGAAGATAAAGGTATCCTTTGTTCACATAAAGAAATTTTATGCACCCCTTTCTTACCGATTTTTGAAAATCTATGAATAACCAATAAACACATAATAGTGTAAAGTTTCGGTTGTGTTTTTATAATCTTGTCATGTCTGTAAAACAAATTTTTTCGTATTTATTATCAGAGAAATATAATGGTTGCATTAAACGTTGAAAATTAATTATATGCATTAATTTTATATTTATTTTCTATATAAAACTGAGAAACAAAAATATATGGTTTACTTCACAATTCATGAATAATACTGTAGACTATGCTTATTTAGCTGTATATGTTTCGTTTGTTTTATGTTTAACGTCCCTCTCAAAATTTTTAAATTAAACTGGAGACACAACCACTTGCAAGTAGAGAGCTGCAAATTTTGAACTATACTCAGCACTCATGGACATTGAGGAGTGAGCGATATTTTTCGTGTCAGCATCTGTTGCTACACAGGACTTCGGTTTATGCGGTCTCATCCAAAGAACTCGTCGCTACGTCCCACAGTGGGATTTGAAACGGCGACGTTAGGATAAATTCATTACTCCGCGACTCTAGAACAAACGCCTTTACACTGAGACTTAGCTGCTGCTTAGCAGAAGCTGTTTCGTAGAAGCCCTCATTCATTAACTTATTTCAGTCGTGATATCTTTTATTTTTTTTAAATCTTAAACAGTCTTATTATATCAAGTCCAATATTTTGTTTCTGTCTATTTTAAAGGATATCTAGGTTGTTTTGAAGATCAGTGGTCGAGAACCTTGAAAGATGGGCCTATAACATCGGATAAGACGACTGTAACAGAGTGTAAAAACATTTGCTCAGAAAAGAAAACAAAATATTATGGTGTTGAGGTTACGTAGTCTAATACTTGTACATACATAATCTAATACATTCAAATTTACAGTAGACAAAAGACATTTTAAGGAAGTCCAATCATGTGCATTTTTTATTTAATTTTATAGAATTCAAACGAATGTTTTTGTGGAAACAACATTACATCAAGAGTAGAAAAGCCTGAAGGCGAATGCAACATGCAATGCCGTGGAGATGTTCGTCAAACTTGTGGTGGATCATGGGGAATCAATATCTACAGAAATCCGTACTACATAATAGGTTCCTGTACAAGTATTTTTATAAAGTATAGGCCAATAGACCGCAAAGAGTTTTTTTTATTAGATGGTGTGTGCCCCTCACTTTTTGGACAGTTTAGGACTTTGGGGTGGGGTGGGGGCTTTCATATTTTTTTTTTAGATAAAACCTTTGAAACAGGCCTGTCAAAGGCATACGGAAACTTTATATATTTCACGTATATTCTCATATACTTTCACTTTGCTCATAATAACATTTTTTTTTTTCAAGGTTCAGTTGAATTTTTTTATGGATGAATTCATAAGAGGCCAAATGTTTAATTCCCATTTTTTTTCATTTATTCCGATTTTTTGATTGAAAATTCATATTGATGTATTTTTTTTTATTTTCAATGATTTTTTTCCCTCCATTTTTTAATTAAACTCGTGTCAACATTGTATTTTTAAATCAAAATTAGTTTCCCTTTGAATTATCTGACCTGGTGAATTCTTACTTCCGTTTTGCACCGTCCCAAGTGAATAGTCTACATGTATCGCAATCAGTGAGTTTTTAAATCGACCCCTCTCTGTATGAAAATTTTGAAAATACATATTTTAATTAAAATTATGAATTTTTTAAAAATAACTGATCATTGCCAAATAAATGAGAGAGTCTTCAATACCATTCTAATAAATGCAAATAAACTGTTTAGTGAAACCATCTTTATTCAAGTTTTGAATCACCCCATCTTTTCCTTTGCTTTACATAGTTAAATAGTACCGTAATTCTGTATTTATAACTGTATAAGACTATACACTAGTATCTGCATTACGGAAGGTACTTGTTTACTCACCATATTTTGACAACAACGGGTCGCCGTACTTACAAATGTCGTAAATTTGACAGGTTGTGTAAATGAATAGTTTTGTATTTAAAACTATATATAAGAGTAAAATATTACATATAAAACTAATATTTATGGGTTTTTATGTTCTAATATTTATAATTTATCGAAAATATACGGTTTACGACATATTCCGCATCAGCGCGGTAAATGTAAACAATGGCGTCTGTCGGTCTGACATCGTCAATGTAGCATGGCAAACTAGAAAAAAACAAGGTTTTTCAAAGAAAACATCGCAATACAGAAAAAATTCTAACTTGTCAAGAACACAGGAGTTCGAAATTTTATCAATAAAGTCAATAGAAACCACTCGATTGACCAAGCCATGAGCTATGCGTAAGCATAGCTCATGGCTTGGTCAATCGAGTGGTTTCTATTGACTTTATTGATAAAATTTCGAACTCCTGTGCAACATTGAACTACAGAAAATTCGAGGTAATGCATAAGACTAGAATCTATTATTTCCTTTGTGTTCTCTATGTTTTAAATATACATAAATCTTTCGGCACAAATATCATTGCACACAGCAGTACATCTGTATATAAACCGATAAACACTGATCAAGATATCGAGGGATAGACCTTAGCTATCATGGCTATAGAATTGATCCAAATCCATCAGCTGCTAATCTGATGTACAGTGTCAGTGACATCAACTGGCAACTGCTGAATCACTTTTAATGCCTAAATAAAAATGATATGTAAACTAGTAATGATAACATTGACTGCCATTTTTTAAAAAATTTTCTAGGAATTATGAACATGATGAAAAAGGATTTTAAGATTGGTTCATTTTTATTGCGTGATCAATGCATAAATTTTACAATGTAACTTAAGTTAAAATAACAACGTTTTTCTTTCTTAAGATATGACACTGCATTGAGTAAAGGGAGAAGCTGGTAGAACTAGGGGTCTTAGCAGATGGCTACTCAGGTTGTGGAGTTTGTGGCATTCCTCTCCATCTTTCTTATACCATGGGGATATAAACTTCTGGTTTAAATTGGTATTATTCCTGAAAGTCCGGTGTCAGAATACAACATGTCAACACATAAATAAAATAGCTACTGGAAAGCACCATGGAAAGATATGGAATGCAAATACCAAGCTTACCTGACACAGGACAGGTACGTATTTTATTTTGCATTTATTTTTTAATTACGTACTATACAGTACATATACTATGAAAGCACAAGGTTAATTTCCTGTTATAAAAAAATCATTTGTTCTATATTTCATAAATGCATCCGAATTATATATTTTAAGGAATGGTGCATACAGGCATGGGGCCTTATCAGGTGAATATGTACACTTTTAACATCATTAAATATCCCCCCAGTCAGTTCTTGGACTCTGCAAAACAGACAACATGAAACAGGACCAGTTCTGGAGAAAACTGCAGTAGAAAGTACCAGAAGCAGCCTTCATGATGAAATTCAGGCAACTGTAAGTATGAACATAGAGAAAAAAAAAAGTCCATTGTAATAGGATTTTTTTTTTTGAATATTTAGGACACTAAAATATATTTGATTTAAATGAAGTTATAATGTTTCTATCAGAATTAAAATTAATAGATGATGTCATTAAAAATTTTAGTACAGTAAAATTCATTCAGTAGGAATATGTATATAGTGAATTCACAGATATAGTGAAGTTTTCGGGGTCCCCAGCAAAAATTCTGAACATTTTTTTGTAAAATTACATGGTTATAACGAATTCTGATGTAACAAATTTATTAATATAGTCAACTGATTTAATTCCTGTAGAGGTTTTTAAAAAAATGAAATTCACATCTTTTTTAATGAATTTTGAAAAATTGAGATATATTGAACTGACTATTTTTGGCAAGTATTTGTGTATAAAATTCAATTCATAATGAAACCATAGTTATCCAAGGAATGTTTTGTAACAACAGCTCTTCGTACATATTCTATAAAAATACTTGATGGAAAACGTGTAAATTGCAGTTGCTTTATACAGTTATACAAATTCGTTATACTGATATAACCAATAATGGATATAGTAAATTTTAAAATTCGCAGGTCCCCGGGACTTCGCTTACTGTATTTCTATTTATATAATAGTGTTGCATTATGCATGTACTATGCCTAAATAGTAGGCAGGGTTTGACACATGGTGCACGAGCCTCCGGCTCGTGCACTATGTGTCAAACCCTGCCTACTATTTAGGCATAGAACATGCATAATGCAACACTATTGTTATTATTATGCTGACTGTTGTTATTATTTATGCGGCAATCCATTTGATTTTTTCCTGAAAATAATGGTGGTAACACAGCGCACTTGCAAAAACTCATTCAAAATTTTCATGCTAAAATTAGTTGCATGCTTAGTTATTTTGGTTACTAGTATTTTCTCTAAATAAGTCAGGATTTTCTGTCCAAAATAAACTCATCTTTATTTTCTGTTTTGTTAGTAAAACTGATTTGTTTACAGACGTGGATTCTCATGGATAATTTTCTTTTACATCCTTCAATCAAGTGCTATATAAAAAAGCGTTTTAATGACCCCATGATATCAATTCATCTAACGATCTGTATGAAATTTGTTTGAAACTTTGTTGTACACATTTATCTAAGATTCCTTAGAATAAATATAACTGTTTTCAAATAATATTTGTCTATTTTCTCCTTCTTGTGTCAATTGTATAAATTAAGTTTATGTATTTAATAAAATTCATCCAATCAGTGATCGTCTCAGTGGCGTAATCGATAAGGCATCGGACTGGCAACCTCATGGTCGTGAGTTCGATTCCCGGTGTGTACATTGAAGAATTTTATTCAGAAAATAAGGCCGTGCACTATTTCAGCATAGTATGCTTACGCTATATAAATCCTTAGACCACTATGCGAGAATAGTAGGGTATGGGTTATATAGAGACAAACTGACAGGAAGCATAATAATCTCCAATATATGCATCTAGCATACATGTAAGAAGTAAATCCTATACATGTAATTTTCAGATTTAAAAAGTGTACATTTTAAGAGAACAACCACAATCAAGGTAAGAAAAACCAATTAGCTTCATGTTTCTGACAGTCTCCTTATGATTTTTAAGGATTAAAGGTACAGTCGAGCTAACAGTCAGTGTTGATGCAGGTTGGCAGAAACCAGGCAGTGGGCCATCCTTTGACAGCCTCTCTGGTATGTTGAGCATTTTATGCGCCTAGATCGATAAATCAGGGTGTATATTGTTTTTTGTCTCGTCTGTCTGTTTGTTTGTCTGTCTGTTGTCAACCTTTACCTCACCATAACTTTTGAACACTCCACTAATTAAGCTGTAGCTATCAAATGACACCAAGGTCAATTACCTTGTGACCTTGACTGTGACTTATAAGCTTTTTCAAACTTTTGCAGTAGGAGATAGAGACTTCATATTTGGTATACATACCTCACTAATTATGTTCTTTCAAACGACACCAAGGTCAATGACCTTGTAACCTGGACTGTGACCTTTATGCCAAAAATAACTTATTGGAACTTAGTTGCCACCGGGTTGTGTTTCACAAGCACGTCTTGTTTCTTTTAAAAGGAATTTAATGTTTAACAAAGTAAAATTCCAATTCTTTATAAAATATTTATATATTTTATAATAAATATATTTCATAACAAACGTTCATAAATGTATATGAAATTGAATATAACAAATTTATTCCTTTAATAACTCAAACTGCATTTAAAACATATTTTTAGGTCATTGCTCCATGATTGAATCTCAGACAGGCAAAGTCATGAAATCAGAACGAAATGTTGCACAATTTTTGAAAATGCTACTACAAATGGAAAAGACCTCAAAGATCATGACTGCAGAAAAAACTCTAATCACCATGAGAGGAAAGTCAACCTGTTTCAATTTCAAGTGCACTTGGTTCTTTTTTAAGCTTTATGGAGAAGCAAGGAATATATTTTTAGTTGGCCACAATATCAAAGGTTTTGATTTTCATGTTCTTTTTCATACTCTAGATTCTTGTTCACTGTTTTATCGAGTGTCAAATGTGTACAAGGTTTTTTTTTTTTGAGATATTACCAGATTTCTATTCAAACTTGTCCATCCCAGTTTGTGTTCATATTTATCAGAAGTGTTACTAAAATGTACTTACAATGCACATGATACTGTAGAAGATGTTTCAGCTTTGAAAAGTTTATATGACACTGTTCATTTTTATGATGATGAACATTCATCTTGTACATTTACATTTCAGTATGCTTTGAGTGTCCATACATGTAACTACCAGAAAGTTGTAGATAAAAACATACCATTCTTTCAATGTTTGATTGATAAAAATATTCTGAATGTCAGAATGGCAAGGAAGTTAACCAGTAGTGGCCTAAACTTTGATTGTCTCAGAAAGGCACAATCTAGAAGTTCTGATAGGTTTAATAATAATAAAATGTTATGAAACAGAGGAAATTCAGGTTATTTGTAACAAAATATCTCAAAATTTTAATCAATTGACACCCACTTTATGTTTCATTTTTGTTTCCTATAGAATGCTTTCTATATGTATAAATCAACCGATAAGAGTTTTCTTCAGTCAAATTTTTAGAATATTTGATTGAAAAAAGGTTCATTTTTATGCATGAAAATGTTATGAAACAGAGGAAATTCAGGTTATTGGTAACAAAATATCTCAAAATTTTAATCATTGACACCCACTTTATGTTTCATTTTTATATCTTATAGGGTACTTTCTATATGTATAAATCAACCAATAACAGATATCATCAGTCAAATTTTTGGAATATTTGAATGAAAACAGGTATATTTATATGCATAAAATGTCGAGAACCGGAGGAAATTCAGGTTATTTATTACAAAATATCTCAAAATTTTGATCATTGACACCCACTTTGTGACTAATTTTTATTTCTTATAAGATGTTCTCTGTATACAACATCCAATAAGAGTTACCATCAGTCAATTTTTTAGAATATTTGAATGAAAAAGGTTTATTTATGTGCAGAAAATGTCATGAAACGGAGGAAATTCAGGTTATTTGTAACAAAATATCTCAAAATTTTGATCATTGACACCCACTTTGTGATTAATTTTTATTTCTTGTAAGATGTTCTCTGTATGTATGAAACAACCAATAAGAGTTATCATCAGTCAAATTTTTAGAATATTTGACTGAAATCAGGCTTATTTACATGCATAAAATGTCATGAAACAGAGGAAATTCGGGTTACAGAAAATAAAAACGTGATTGATTTCTGTAATAATTTTGTTGTTATTTTTAAGATAACACCTTAATTTATAAATTGATATGGTAGAATGTTTCACTTGCATGCCCGCAAGAGAAATTATAGTAAAAGATTGAAGTAACCTTAAAAAAATCCATATCTACAATGGCGAATTCATGCTTTAATTTCATTGGCTAATAGCAAAAAAAGTAGGTCATTGACCTACATGTTTTAAAGTAGATTTTGTCAATACATACGTGTGTCTTGCTGATTTAATAGATGGGTTTTAATTATCATCAGTAGATTTTTTTTTCCTTCTGAGTAAACAAGTACCTACAATATGACTGCATTAGATTAAATAAAAGTGCATCAATGATAAGATTACTTGACATTTTATTCATGAATTTGTGTCAACCTATCTTCCTAGAATTAGGAAAGATAATCATTTAGAAATGGACCACATTAAACTATTTGTATAATTTTTTTTTAATGTAATACAAGTAGTAGTTTGCATACATAAACAAACAGGGGTCTGGGAAGGGGTGAGGGGAAGGATCGAGTTAATATTTCTTTATGTCTTAATGGTTGAAAACTCCTAAAATGAATGCTGACCTCAAATCTAACTTGTCCTCATTATTTTTCAAGTGGTGGTGTCTCCATATGAGTGAAAAATTCCTGAGAGGGATGTTTAACAACAAACAAAATGACATAAAAACACAATATTTATTTGCGTTAAGAAATATGCAGGGGATTTTTTCCATCATAAATCTTTTTCTCAAGAACAGCAAGGGCATTATTGTCCCTCGTTTTGGGGAAAGGGAGGGGACGTTAAATCTCATTTGTCTGTCAGTTTGTCCATTTTATTGACAGCTAGTATGTGCATCTGTCACAATAAATTTAACCTTGGTCATAACATTTGAATAAATAGAGATAGTGCTTTCATATTTCACATATACATTACCACAAAAGTTTCTAAATATACTATGATTTTTTAACCCAAGTGAGACCTTTACCTCAAAATTTTACCTACTTTCCAAAAAATAACACTTTAAATTGATCAATTTGAAAGAGAAAAGAACGGGCATTCAAATTATAAATGTTTATTACCTGTGAAAAGACTTTTTTAAAAATGTCATGACTTTTGACTCTGTGACCTTGACCTAGAAGTTTAACCTACTTTTCAAAAATATTATAATTGTATATATAAATTTTGATTCAAAAGAGATAGGACTTTCACATTTGACATGTACATTACCTACAACAAAATGTTTCAGAGCATGCTATGATTTTTCCCCTTTGACCTAATTTTCAAAAATTCATATATGATATGGGTGC